CACTACTCGTCCAGGTCAGATAAAGAAGGGAGCAGAATGGAGACAAAAATTTCTATCCGCTCACCGACATAGATCACAATTGGCCACCCAACAATTATATGACGCAATTGAAGAACGGATACAAACGTTGCGAACACGTTTGAACGCCATGCTTCAAAACAAATTGAAGTCTTTTTTCGACATGGCTCCGACGACACCCAACGAATAAAGAAACAACATCAATCTTGTATTCGTCGTCGTCGGAGCTTTGCTTTTATTTATACAAAAATCACTGCTTCATCGCCATTTGTCGAAGTTCAATTGAATTTAACACCGCCTCAGATGCTTATGTTTACGAAAGGCCTTCAATATGTCATACCATGTCAGAGTCGATTTCTACGTCGAACAAATGAACAAATTATTCAGAAACAATATGAAATGTTGTTCGATACTGTTACCAATTGTCTACAAGATAGTTGTATGTCTGCTTCGAATAAACATGCACAAGAAGCTTTTTCTGAATTGAAAACGATTGTTCATGAATTACATGTCAAAAAATTATCTGGCCATTTAAATATTCGTGCACGATACGAACATGCTTTAGTGAAAAATATTCGACGTTTAATTGATAAACAACCTCACGCCATTGTGCGTCGCACAGATAAAAGTAAAGTCTTCTACATCGGAAAACGGACGATTTTCTACACAAAACAGCAGCATATATGACGACCACAAATGCTTATGAATTTTTCTCTGATAACAAGAGTCCATTGCAAAATAATTATTTTAAAAATCAATGGGGCGACGCCCACGCATCCGACAATTTCTAGTTACGCCACTACTGTGAAAGTATTTGGATATTGATTAATAAGTGGAACCGTACATCATTTTTCTCATTCATCTAAATCTGATTGGAATGTTGAACAATACCGAATTGCACGTAATAACATAGAGAATGGAATGTTCTTTGAAGTGTCGAACAAAGAGGAGACGTTGGTCTCTATCTTAAGAAAACAGTATAAACAGCCGAAGTTGCCTAGTTGATTCATCCATTTATGATTAAGCTAATGTTGGTGATCGTATCATAAGAAGTGTGCCTGTTTATTTCTCGTATTTGTTTTGAAAATAAATTCTCCGTAAGCATGTAAAAAAAATTTTCCACCCCCAAGCTCTTCTTAATGCTGTATCAAGCAATCTCAAGTACCAAACTGCGTAAAATGAATTTCGCATACCTAAATGCACCATCTGGCAACATCGTCGTCACCCTGGTCTAAATATACGTCGTGATCGTCCTTCACGTTTAACAGATTAAAATGAAGCGCATTTGGTTTACTTATTCAAACTTCTACCAGTTTATGGGTTTGACGTTGTTAAAAATGCTATGATCGATCTTGTGGCATTAAAAATAGGTGCGAAACTAAGAATAAAATGGATTAGACCTAAGGTGTATTATTTGATTTTTTTCTCGTTTTATTTTACTTTTACAATCTTTCTGTTTCATCTTTCTTGCTTATGAAAGCGAAAAATATCGCTTCTATCGACGAGGGTATCCTATAAAGCCGATGGGATAAGATATGACATTATCTACTGGATCACATAGCGCTTTATGTGATCTACTGTTGAGAAACTAATGTTTCGTCTTATTTTAGACTTTTTTGAGTGGCCGCCTGTTTGGTTTTTAATCAGAACCAGTTTCCACGCATTGTTGTATGAGTGATAGAATAAAGAACACGGGATTGTCGATGCGATGTAATTGGGTGATGCAATTTAATGATATCACCGAAAACTTGCGATTAAATGGCAAAAACAACGATGAAGACCGCCAATAGCCGAGAGGAAAAGCACGTGGATCGATCGAGCCCCAAACGACGAATCAGATCATGTTAAAATGGATGAGAAACGTCATTGTTTTTAAACTGAAAACGCGCTTTTTCTAATCAGTCAACGCATATTTTGTTTCATGTGATGTATTTAGGAAGGCTATATAGCTGTAAAGATGTGATTGGGAATAAAACAGAAACGACAAAACATGATAGTAGGCCTTCTTGTAAGGACGATTACTCGGTGGTGTTCTTGTATTTTGTTTTTGTTGAAAAACACATCGATTGATAGAGGAGCGTTTGCTTTATCCCAGAATCGAAAAATCGATTCAAACGGACGCATGATGACCGATATAGTAAGATTTTTCTAAAAGAAATGGGAAAATGCGATGAAATTAGGGCCAGTCAGTTTATACTACATAGGGGTATCTGTAACGACAAACTGGTTGAGTAGCTGACCGCTTCTCACGGTATCGATGTTTATTGGCTACTCTACATGACCAGAATGTGTCTCTTTCACAATAAGACACGCGCTTATATAGAGAAAAGGAAAGAGAGATGTTCCTTTTCCTTTTGCTCTTCTTTCGTACACCATATATGCAAGTTACTTGAAAGATGAGATCTCACTTTTTTTTCAAGTCACGAAATCTCTGAGTTTGATTGTAGCCTCTATCTTGTTCAATAAATTTGAACACATCGAATGACGATTTTATTTGTAGTTGAAGTTGTTTTGGTGCATACGTTTTGTATTTTGAACAAGGCACACATGTCATAGGCTTCATCTGCGAGTTGATTTCAAAATTTTTTATTTTGTACAGATCGTCTGAACTTTTAATTTCATCGAACATAACGTCTAACTATTCTCCTTCGTTAGCTTGTTTAGTATTTGAAATCGAACTTTTTGTTCCAATTAAACTATCAAACTTAGTGCTCAGATTAGAAAGTTGTTCGTTCATATATAGCAGCTGCTGTTGAAATTTATGCTCATTCGATGGTGAAAAGAAGGAAGGTACGATGAGTGTTGTACCAGGTGAGGTATACGTAGAAATTGTTGTAATAGATGACGTAAATGAAGAAATTGTTGTGACAGGTGATGCGAATGTAGAAGTTATTGTCGTTTGTATTTTATTGAAGTTCGGTGAATCTTCACTCGCGTCATTGACGTTCGTTTCCTCCTCGGCCTGGTCTGTAGCTAGTGGTACTGATCTTGGCTTTCAGATGGTAGATAGAGCATTTGAAGCAATTCCGATTTGAACTTTGAAATCAGGATGATGTTTGTTAGAGTGAGGACCTAGTTTATCTTTTCGACCCGTCCATTCACAGTAAAAACAAATAACCTTTTCTTTACTAGGAAACATCTCAATCAATCTGAATACCAGTAACCGTTATAAGAATAAGCATAAGAATGAGAATCACTGGAAATAGGGGTATTTATTGTACATAACGTAGGAATAAATATCAAAAAAAAAATTTTTCTTTTTTTTATCAGGTATGTGTAAGCTAGAGTCCGATTTTATTCAATGAAACCAGAGACGCAGAAAGAGGACGAAAAACGAGTAATAATTAGGATAACGAAGTTATGCATGTGGACGTGTGTACATAGATGGATATACATACGAAAACAGGAAAATCAAAGAACCGAATATGTACATTCTAAGCAAGATGAAGAATAAAGTACCCTAGTCAAACTTCTTGTGGCATGAACATGAGAAGCAGACGATTCTGACTCCAGAATGTCATGCCGTCATGACGTATCTTGAGTCAGGACTCGAGGACAGGAAATTTGCTCAAGAACTTGATCTTCTTGCTCATTTACATACAATTCTTGATTTATGTGGTCAGTACATAATCAAGCACACGTCATGCACTTGAATATTATTGGAAATCAGCTCTTTTCTTACTACTCTTAACATTTTCTCCAACACGAGTGACAATAAGCATCGTTTGCTTATCTCCATTTTACACATGATACGTAGAGAAGCAGAATAGGGGAAAAAAGAGAATATACCTGGATTACATCACAACACATGATAAAAGGAAAAGGACGTATGCTGATTTGTTTATATACGAAAAGCGAATAACATTGGGAGGATCTAACAGAAACAGATTTTTGTTTCGTATAGACTAGCAGAGTCGAAAAAGTACGAAGTAGTATTACATAGAATATTGATTTATCAGTAGAATTCATTAGGAACATCTGATTAATTTTTTTGTGCTTTATACATAGTAAATCGAATTTCTAGACGATAAATCAATTTGAAATATGAAGGATAAGCTCGGTCTTTTGCAAAAGTAAAAGGATTTAAACAGATCTTAGCATCAATTTCGGTAATTTAGTTTTCATTTTATGCTATTCTGTGTGATTATTTCAGGCAGTCATCGAAAAGTCAACTCGTGATGCGGGCGAAAACCTTCGAGGTGATACAGATCAATCAGTTCTGGATGCATTAGTAATGGAGTATTCAACATTGAATAGCGCTTCACTTAGTACTCAAAACGAATCTGTTCGCCAGTTAAAACATGACAATAAATGAAACTTGATTGGGCAAAACTTTCGAAGTTCTCAAAGTGATGAGAATAATATTTGACCATGGGAAATGGACTTTAATNAAAAAGTTCGCCGAGGGTATACAAGTAAAGCAATAAACTGAAAAAAAAGATTTATATACTATAGTTAATTATGAAGAGAACAAGGTTTCCTCTTCTAACACACTCTTTCAAAATTTCCCCCAGTATAACAACTTTTCAAAAAATTTCCCCACCCGCGCGGGTGCGCTCGAAGCAGATTCTGCACCCCTGTAATGTATGCTAAATGGACGTGGAATGGTCATTGCATATTGCCTGAATAAAAAAGAAAATATCAAAAGAGGTGTAGTTTTATTGGCTCAAACATATTGGAATTTTTCTTTTGCATCTTTAAAACTTTCAGCTACGAAATAAGCTGGTTGATAAGTTGATGTTTCATGGGGCTCAATCGAAGCGCGGAATGGATCAAATGGTTTTACAGATGGTTTACCCGAAAGAATATACTAATAAAACCTGATCAGATTAAATAGATCAGAAAACAAATCTATACTTGTAAGTCACCAAATGACGATAAAATAGCAGCTCCATAAACTTTTCGTTCATTATTTTCAACACATAAGCCAAACTCAATAGTAAACCAGTATACTGCCTCTGGTAAAACAAACAATAAAGCTCTATACAATATAATCAGATTTTCATTCTCATTTTTCAGATATAATGGAGCAGTTTTCCTTGTACGAGAGAGATACATACACAGGCAAAGTGTTCGAAAATCGTCTGATAACCGTAGGAAGAATTTGAAAGTTGTGTAGTTTTATGTCTTATGTATGTATTATCAGACTGCATAGATGTTTAATGCGACTCCAAACCATTCACGAGTTGTAAAAGAAAATGTTTCGAATTTAACTACAGTCGCTGCATTAAACCATAAGATTCACTTAGATTCAGTATAGTTGCCTCACGAATCCTAGAATTCTACACTGAGTCAATTAGTTTTTCAATACTGTGAGAAAACTGTGCTGGACACTTCAATACATTATAATGTTATTCTCACAAATTCATACCTAAGCGACTTATATATTCATCAGATGCGCCTAAACTAGCCATGCCAATTTCTTGACCAAATTTTGCAAAATCTGGATCACAAAAAAGTGGCACATGACCAGTAATTCATGACAAACATCCGGTTCTGGTGAAATCGTAGGGTAACTATGATGGCGAACATATTTTGTTGCATGAAATACACGAAAAGCCAAACCAGCAAGAAAATCTCGTGGTGATAAAAAACCTTAATTAAATCTATTCATAATTATAAGACAGAAAATACATTACAAACCAACTACGGGTCGGAGTCGAAAACCTGTACGTTTTTGAAGAAATTGTGATACATCTTCTAATTGAGGTATATTCGTTTCATTATAACCACAACTCTCAATCAATAATGGGAAAATATTGTTAAACTCTTTACATGCATGTGTTGGATAAAGTTTAGTTAGTTCACGAAATATGGTTCCCCATATTGCGATTTCTTCTTCTGTGTAAGTAACACGCGGAATCGATTGACCATGTCGATATTGATGAGCTATATCAGCGAATTCTTTTCGGCGTTTAACATAGACCGGATCATGAAGACCAGGATAATCAGAATGTACTCCTGAATCAAGTGAGACTACACGATTANACAAACCAGATTCACTCAATGTTTTATGAGCACGTGAAAGTATATGAAGGTATTTCGATTCCTGATGTAGTTGTTTAATTGCATTGGCAACACTGCCTCTCGTATTATCACATTCAACATAAAATTCATGATCACTTTTCTTTTGACGAGACGATCGAGATTCAATATGAAGTAAATTAACACCATGTTTCTAAAAACAAAAAAAAAACATTTTTTTCTTTCTTGGAAAAACAAATCAATTCATGTTAGTTTGCTGAACATCTTATAACTTGGAGCGCAAATCTATTTTATAATATTGATGGTTAAACAGATGAGATAATAAATGTTATGATACGAGGTATCATGACATCTATTTTCCCGACTATTTCTTTCTCATTTCTTTTGTTGCCAGTTCTATATATGTTGTGAAATAAATGGAACTAATCAGTTATGCTTCGATAGTAACATCAAACACCCCTTCTTTCATTCCATCATGGAACATAACACTTTCATTTGGAGACATCTTATGCACAATGCGGGTCTCGTTCGTTCACAAAGCTTTCGTTTAATTTAGTAATTCCTCTCTCTTCCTCTTCTTCTTTATTTATCTGTCTTAAAATGGTTCGAAAGCTTTTCTTATTGACTATGACCTTTTATAGTTAAATTGAGGCTGCAATAAACGTTTTCCTATCATCTTGTATTGTTGACAAATATAAACTTGTTGAAAATTCCTAAAGACTGAAAACAAGACTATGGCTATCGAAAATAAGATTTGACAACGTATGATTTTCTAGTAAAATCAAGACGGTAAGGAGCCGTAGAACCGATCAATGTCATTTTATATGATTTTACAGAATGGCCGGTTTAAAACAAACTGAATATTTTGTAATTTGCGCATTATAGACGCTATGTCAAATAAAATGTATTTATAATATTTACCCACAATCAGAAAGTCTAAACGGAAATGACGTTGAATGAACAATAGGAACACAGCATGCAGTTGTAGCTTTCGGCATCTCTTCTGAAATCCAATTGATAATGAGCACGCATTATTGACACTGATGACTTTATTTTTGACGAAAATTCAACGTTGCAGATTATTGAATATACGGAATGATACACTTGTAATGTGTATACAATATTTTGATGAAAAATTAGATAACATCATTCAAGCGTAACTGTGTATTAAGCAAACGAAAGCATGTGTGTATATTCTTCGTGGTATGTCATAATCATAAGAGAGGAAGCAAACAAAGATTGCATACCATATAACGATTGAGTACATTACACGTCCTTCTCGTTAATTTTTGTGATGAATATAATAGTTACAATTAATTAACCCATGATTTCTTTAAAAAATATACCCAACTATTGTACCTGATGAAACTATAAAATAATATCAGATATTCCTTCTACTAAAAGGAGGGTATACACAGAATTTGAGGTAAAGTTCATTCGTTTGCCCATTCACATACTTTACAGTGATAGCATAACAATCTACACTGTTTACGAAGAAAGTTTGACCAAAGGGTAATCGGGATCGAGGATCTCGAGTCCGGTGTCAGTTTTTCGAGATTCCAATTAGCTAAATACTAATTAAGAATGATTTCGGATACATGGCGATTCAACACGAAATAATTGGAATTATTCATGTCTGATCAGTAGAAGTCATTTGATCACAAATGGCTTTTATCTTCGTCAAATATTTATTAACCGTCAACAAGTTCCAATTGATAATCAATTCGATCGTCGGCATCTATATTTTTTCTTAATTATTAATTGCATATCAATCAAATAACGAGTTTTAATGAAATTTCTCTTTTCTTCGAAATGAAAAGGCGTGGACGATATTCCCTTTCCAATGAATAATGAAACATGACCAAATAAAAAATAAAATCTGATCACATTTTTTATGCATGAAATTAGGAGAAACGTCTACGAAAAAGGGCGTTTCATGCATTTCATTTTTCCATTAAAAGTACTTTTTACCACGGAACATTAATTTCATCGTAAATCGAATATAAAAACAGATGAAGACTGCACATTTCATATTACTCAAATGCATTCAGATTCCGAAAACTCCTGTGAAGTCAAACAAATTTATTATAAACTTATTCAATTTCAATCGGATACTGTTGATAATGTTTTTCAATTGAATATTATTGAACGAAAAAAATCT